GGTGTTCTCCTGTTAGTTCCAGGGGCTGAGAGCGTCTCGGAATGAACTGCCCTCCGAGTCGGGCACCACATTCTCACCCCAGGCTCGGGCTCACCAGGTGCGAGGCCCTGGGCAGTGCTGTAACTTCTTCGAGCCTGTTTCCTTAGTTATAAAGCGGAGGTGGCAGGGCCTACTTGGAAGGGACTTGGGGGCTAAATGAGAATAATAATGAATTCAGAGTCTCTGGCCAGTGTGGCTCCGTTGGTTGAGCGTCGATCCATACGCCGAGAGGTCTCGGGCTCCATCCCCGGTCAGGGCACCTTGGGCTCAATCCCCAGTAGGGGGGGCGTAGAAGGCAGCAGATTGATGTTTCTCTCTCTCCCTCTCCCCTCCCGTCTCTCCAAAAAAATCAGTATAAAAACCCAGAAACCCAGAGCCCCTGGTTTAGGGCAGACACTCAGCAGAAGTTACCTATAGTTTCTGTTACTGGTTAGTCAGGAAAACTGGCCCTGTGACAACAGCCAATCCCTGAACATCTGCCCAAGCTTCTAGTTTGCATTTAGTTAAATGACATGGAGATTCAGGGTACTTCCATCTCAGGTGGCTCGCCAGCGGGTCCCCCCACTGAGACTGCACAGCCCAAGCTGGGCCTGGAGAACGGACTTGTGGTCCTGACTCAGCCTCAGGCCTGCTGTGCACCCGAACCCTCGGAGCCAAGCCACGGTGGCAAGAAGGTGGCAAGGACCTCGGTGGAGCTGCTCTGACTTCGGGCTGGAGAGAGGTTTGCCTGCTGGTTGGAAGCATCGGTCTCCCGGTGAAGGTCTCGGCCATCAGCGCTTATTTAGTGCTGATTAAGTGACAATACTGGGCAGAACTCCACCCAAGACAGCTGGGGGCTGGCAGGGACGGTGCCTGGCCAGTTAGTGGTTTTTAAAAAGGGAAGAAAAGCGAAGGCATAAGGCCAAGCAGGTTCCACGGGACCATCACAGGCTATCAAACCAGGGCTACAGTACTGGGAGAGAGAAACGTGGGTACTTGTCACCCATGGGGGCAGGGGTCGGGGGTGAAACCGGGTGGAAAGTCAGCGGAGCTGCCCCTAAGACTTGACAGCTGCCAACACTTAGGCTACATGAATGGAGGTCAAACATCCACTTTGAAGGAGGCGAGGGCCCGGTTTCATCCCACACCAGCTGGACCTTACCTAGAGGATCGTGTCAGCCTGGGGTTTCATCTCTTACCATTTTGAACATATTCGGAGCAAAGTGGCCAGGAGGAGGGCCTTGAAGTCATGTTGAAGGGGCAGAGCTGAAGGGCTGGCTCTCCGGCTGGAGGAGAGGAGCCCAGCAGGCTGGACTGCCGGAGGACTTCATGCACAGAGGGACCGAGCTGGTTTGCCGTGGGAAGTGAAGAGCAGTGGAGGGGACTACAGGAGCGCACATTTCCATAGAGTTAGACCCGGTCTGGCAGTGAAATCGCGGCCGCACTGAGCTCCCCATCCCTGGAAGCGCGCAGCTGAGGTGCGCAGACGCCACTTGGAATGCGGGGGGAGCGTGAGTGCGCGGGGTGAAGGGAATCCTCTCCTTTCCGCGTCTATGAGCCGAGATTCCATGGTTACGTGATTTCTTCCAGTGGCTACAACTCCAGATGCGCTCGTCTGGATGGAGAAAGGCACCGGCTGCCCGTCTCCTTGGACAATATGGACTGTGCACGTCCATCAAGCCCAAGGTGCGGAGCCTCGGTCCGCGGCAGAGGTGATGTCACCGTGGAAACACGAGCATCCCGGCCCCCACCTATCCAGGTCACGGCGCTGTCCCTGCAACAGGAAGAAGCGTTTCCTGGCCCTGGTCTTCTCTCAGGGGTCCCCTGCCGGGTATCCTGTTTCTGGTCCTGCAGGGCATCCTGTGGGGCCCCCGGGGGTGCTGGAGCCTCGCAGGGGGCGGGCCTGGCAGAGCCCTCGGTGCGGGCCATGGAAACCACGGCTCTCGGATCAGCTGGGGGACCGCGCAGGAGCCCACACCACCGAGGACAACCTGAGCAAGTGCAGCCCAGGAGTCCAGAGGAGGCCCCTCTGCTGTTGCGTCACTGACCTTGCTCTTCCTCCGATTCTCCCCCTTTTCCAGTGTGTACGAGGCTGCCCTGCAGTGTACAGTGCCGTGGTTTTTAGCATGTTCAGATATGGGCAACCATCACCACTGCTAATGTTAGAACATTTCTATCCCAGTCATTCATTCTTTTTATTTTTTAAAGCTTTCATTTTATTCTTAAGACTTTTCTCTTAAACTATTTCAGCCATTTTTAAGTGTACGGGTCAGTGGCATTTAAGTCCATTTGCAATGTTGTGAAACCATCAGCATCGCCAAGCCCCAGAGGTTTTCATCATGCCAATCATTGATAACAGGTGTTTCTTTCAATTCTAATCATAAAATGAAAATTTTAAATCTATGTCCAGCATTTTGAACAGCGCATGTGGGTCCCATATTCTGGTGGCATAAGGGCAGGGAACACAGATACAGGAGAGAGGAGAGGGAGACGTTTTATAATTGGTCAAAAATGCAAGTTACCAGTTCATTACTTTCTCTGGGAAAAAAAAAAAAGTGCTGTTTGGCTGATTCTATGGTAGAAAAACTGGAGGTTGTTAATTTTGAAGTCAGAACCAAAACTTCTATTTCTTATGTTTAATTGTGGCCCCCCCATCAGCAGCAGGCGGGGGCCTCTGGTGACCAGAGTAACCCCCACATCCTCCTGCCTGCAGCCTGAGCTGATCAAAAAGCCAGAGAAGGAGACTTTTCTCCTTCAAAACAGCTCCTCGGCCCCTTGAAATGAATGAGCAGCTTCTTTAACGGACTTTCCCCCCAGCTCGCATTCCCCACGGTTGGCCAGGCAGAAAATTCACGAGAACAAAGCTCTTGCCCTAAAGAGATCCTCTTTTCAACTTAGGGTCAATTCCACATTTGGGGCCCCCAGAAGAGTCACCTTTAAATTAAGAAAAGAGAAAAGGGAGGGGGAAGCACATAAGCCGGGGAAATGACACAAGAGCGCGCACGGCCCGCCCTCCGGCTGCGCCACACACGCATCCTCCATGGGAACCGGGCTCAGAGCTCCTCACGCGGCCTCGGAAGACACCGCCGGGCTCGGGAGTCCAAAAAACAGATTCATTTCCCCACCTTCTGTGAGCCCTCGGGCAACTCCTAGGATAAACGGGCACACAGCCCACACCCTGCCTTCCTCACGTCTCGGTTGTCTGGCCAAGACGATGTGCCATTGGCGAGGGCACTGTGCCTCCTCCCGTCCCCCAAACAGGTGGCCTTGTCACTCCAGCCTGAAATTTGGTAGTGTCCTGGCATATGATCTACCCAGTGTCACCTTCTCCCAGTGTCCCAGCCTTTTGGGACAGAGCAACATGCACTTGGGTTAATCAGAGTCAACATTCTTTACATCTCACCCCTTGTGAAATGCCAGGAACTGAGACTCCACATGGAGCCCGGTCTGGCTCGGCTCGGGTGCCATCGCCAAGCCCTCATTCCTGATCTATCAGTCTGGGGACAAGATTCAGCATCTTGGACTCCCTGGGATCAGCTGCATCCTGGGAGCCGGGCCAGCCCTGACCCTGAGGGGTAACCAGGGGCGGAGAGGGGCAGCCAAGCACACACTCCCCACCCAGGGGCCAGGTCAAGGTGATCGAGTTTCTCACTCTAGTCAGAAAGCCCATCACCCCTGGCTCCAGGGTAATAAACTCAATCTTGGAGCTCGAGCTATAACACGGTTCATTTCTGGGCCAAATCCCTGAAGCTGAAGGGTTTATTTTTAAGGACAAGCAGTTTGCTGTTTTCAGCGTTTCTCATCAGAAATAGTGCAATTCAGCCCAATCTGCATTGGGAGCATAATTTATCATCTCACACAGATGGTTGACTGAGGGTGGGGAGAAGGTTTGCTTTTCATTTCGGTTCAGCGAACATTTCCTCGGGCCCCTGGTTGTGCCAGGCACAGAGCACCGGGGATGCACAGACAAGTCAGGCAAGTGCCTGGTCCTCGAGACACTCACACTATAGGTGGGAGACAGACCCCCAACCTCAGCTCTGGCATCAGACAGTCGTAGTTTGGAATCCTGGCTCTGCCGTATACAATTGGAGTCACACTGGGAAAATTATCTCACCTCTTTCTAGCTAAGGTTTGTCAACAGTGCTCATCTTTTTTAAAAAAACACACACAACTTTTGGTTCTGTTTATTTTCTCTACTGTTTTTCTATTTTCTATTTCATTGATTTCCACTCTGGTCTTTATTATTTCCTTTCTTCTGCTTTCTTTGGGTTGCTTTCTTTTCCCCCAGTGCCTTACAGCGGAAGGTTAAGTTACTGGTTTGAGATCTCTCTTCCTTTTTAATAGTTACTCACTGCTATAAATTTCCCTCCAAGCACTGCTTTACCTACATCCCATAAGATTTCCTATGTTGTGTTTCTGTTTTTGTACATCTCAAAGTATTTTCTAATTTCCCCTTTGATTTCTTCTTTGACTCATTGGTTGGCTGGTAGTGTGTTGTTTAATTTCCACATATTTGTGAATTTCCCCAAGTTTTTTTCTGTTTTTAATCTTTAAATTCATTCCATTGTGATCAAAGAATATATTGTATATAATTTCAATCTCTTCCAATGTATCACAGCTTGTCTTATGGCCTAGCGTATGGTCTCTCTTGGAGAATGTTCCTTGTGCCCTTGAGAAACACGTGTGTTCTGCCATTGGGTGGCGTGTCCCAGGGATGTCAGTTTATAGTGCTGTTCAGGTTTTCTGTTCCCTTGTTCATCTTCTGTCTGGTTGTTCTACCCATTGTTAAAAGTGGGATATTGAGCTTTCCAACTATTATTGTTGAACTGATACTCCACCTCTTCGAACCTCTGCTTCCATAGAGGAAAAGAATTACTCCTGCCTTGCAGAGGCGTAGAGATAGATAAAGGTGGCAAAGTGTAGTGGCACAGCCCGGCACGCCGTGGCTGTCGCTGCTGTGCCTCAGGACGACTGGACAGAGCACAGAACAGTGGTGGTGAGGGCTTCCTCCTCAAGCAACCAGGGGCTCTTGGTGAAGCCAGCACAGCTCCCGTCTGAAAAACACAGACCCTTCTTAAAGAGGAAGCTGAGGCTCAAAGCCTGCTGCTTCTGTGGCCTTCTATTCAGGATATGCCCCTCTCCTGTGCAAAAAATAAGAGCTAACTAAGTAGCTAACAAACCCTAATTTTCTCATCTTACTTGGCTGGCTGATGTCTAAAATTCCTTCGTAGACGTTTCTTGTGACCTTCCTTCCTTCCTTCCTTCCTTCCTTCCTTCCTTCCTTCCTTCCTTCCTTCCTTCCTTCCTTCCTTCCTTTCCATCCATCCATCCATCCATCCATCCATCCATCCATCCATCCATCCATCCACCTGCTCTTCCTTCTTCCCTTCCTTCCAACTCAACTGATGGTCACCAAATCACCTTCTCTGGCAGAGCTGCCAGGTACTGAGGACACTGAAGTTGGACCTGCTGAGAAGGCCCTGCCTTACCTGGGAGGACACTGACATGCAAGCAGGTAGACAGAATGTAAGGATATAAATGCTGTGATAAAGGAGCAAAGGGTTGGGGGCACAGAGGAGGAAAGTGACCGCCTTG